CTCTACACAATAAACATTAGCAGCATTTTGCTAAAGCCTCCACCCGCCATCAGATTGACTAGGAGCTAAAGCACCTAGTTAGGTATCTCACATCTTCAGATTTAAGCAATTTAATTAACTGCAAACGTATTCAAATTATTCTGAAGAGAGCTGATCAGGTAATCATTGCTGTGTCAACTGAAGTCAGACTCTGATCCATGAATGAAGTTATATTAAATAATCGATTCCTGACACGTTACGGCAGTTTAATTGTCAATCCCCCATGTGTATGCAGCTACCACAGCATTAACATTTCAGACGCCACTGTCAGCTCTCACACAAAGACGGTTTTTTTTTTCCCAAAGAGCACATGACAAATCGCGAGACCATTTCAAACGAATCTTCTCTTCATTTGTTCGTGCAAACTCTAACCGCAACAATCTCATGATCTCAGTCTTTTTTCACTGTCAGGTAAGTCCGCGGACAAAGACAGATGCGAGGAAGGAGGCCACCATTCGTTTTCCTGTTGGATGTGAAGTGGCACATCGATATTTCACAGGGGACTGCAGCAAGAACACAGAGTTTGATTTTTAAATGTTAAACCATTTGACCATCTTGGGTCTAAACTGACCCTGGGCCATTTGACAGCTTCACACAGAGAACACCAGCAGAGCTGGCGCAGACGGGAGAGAGTCACCAGATCCTGGGTTCTTTTCGGTCCTATAAAAGCATCCAGGATTCTGATCCAGGCATCCAGGATTCTGATCCAACAGGGACCATTTATTTAACGGCTGGGGCTCCCTCATGCACGAAGGCCTTGCTCAGAGAGCAGGATGAGCACCCTGACATCGCTGCCTCCAGACCTGGGCGGCAACACTGAGGACACTGGTCAGCGCCACTGGAGTGATGCAAACTCGCAGCCGGCCACCCTGTCTTGCTTATGACTGACCAGAGGCTACTCGTATTGCCGAGTCCAGCCTCTGGGCATGCACTATGTCCAGATAGCCTCAGATCCCTTGCATCAGTGTCAGTGTAGGGCTCTTGCATGTGTTCTGCGATCCTCAACAGGAGCATTCGCCATGGTCCTGTACGTACAGGGATCTGACGTCCCTGGCCCA